CCTTCAATCAACCAACTCTCAACAGCCCCCCAACAGTCACTGCTGCTCAGCTAGGATGACTGCTACTGTGTGGGTTGCTATGGCAGAGAATGTGTGTGTTTTTGAAAGTGGGGTAACTCAGGGTTGACCATCAAATGTCTCAGCAACAGAGGAGAGCAGACCAATGGGTCCTTGTTGTCATGCGTCTGCATGCACATATGTAGTCACATCACCAGAGCAGGAACTGCTGCTCTAATGTGAAGCCAGAATGAACCTGGCTCCGGGGCAATTTAGCTGCTGCTACTACTGTGAATGGCACACACACACACACACACACAAGATACAAGTGTAACCGGTGTAGCCTCTGTGTTGTGTTTAATGAAAGCCATCATGCTGCTGTTACCAACGCTTTTGTCACGATTGGCCGTCGACATGACAGGAAGCAGGCAGGACCCAAATGCAGGACTGGTGCAGGTAGTTTATTTCAAGATCCAAAATTCCAAAAACTAGGACAGAAGCATAGGCAAAGTCGAGCAGAGCTGAGAACACGAACAGAGTTGAGCACAGCAACAGACTTGCTCAGGAACTGACTAGGAACAGCTACAACAAAAAGCTTGACACAACGCTGGGACGAACGATACAGCACTCACAAAGACAGCACGCACGCAGACATTCACTTAACTAATGATCCTACAAGGCCAGCGTACGGGAGAGAGGCATATATACAGGGAGCACCAGGTGACATAAGTGGCTAATTGCAGACACAGGTGAGTGTGATAACAAATTACCCCACACAGCAGACAGCAGGAACAAACACCTGACAGCTTTATTGATCTGACGGAATTCACATAGAACAAAATAATTCCCTACAAAGTGCACATAAAATAAATATATTGTACAGAATTAAATGAAATGTTGAAAACAAGGAGCAACAGAAAAACACTAACCTCTCCCACAAAGTCTGAAGAAAGAGGGAAAGGTTGGGTGTGACTGACTTTTTATATCAAAAATATATACGTTAAGTTTCCGCCCAGGGAGGATCAACCCACTTCCGTCAGGTAGAACAAATAAAATAATTTTGTGGAATTATAACTACATAACTATTGACCACTGTTACACAAGTAACTGTCCAGAAGGAGCTGAGTTTCACAGTCCTTTTAAATCTGCTTGATTTTTGCCTGTTATGGTTCTGTTCACATTTAAAGGCGTTTCCAATACCTGATTGAAAACTTTTGATTGAACCTCAGTTCTTGAGTGTGGTAATCTTTAAGGGGTTGAATATTTGTGTCAGTGAAGAAATCACAAAAAGGACATTTGATACTGTATTAGACAAACTATTTCTGTCTTTTTAGTTGCATTTAGCTAATTTACAAATCCTTGTTAGATTTATTTATGAATACTATTACAAATATATATTGATTTCCCTAAAACCCTTTACAACATTCGGGGTTGAATAATTTTGAACACAACTGTATGCAGATTAACTGGCGCTAATGTCCTCTGTGTGTAAAGGTATATGTACACTTAGGCAGTGGGGTGGGGTGCAGGAGGAACAGGGGATGCACTCATGGATGTATCAGCACCAAGACAAATGCAAGATAGAGATAACGCAGGCTGATGAGTAATAGATAAACTAAGTACAAAAACATATACCATGTATATAAACAGTAATTGTATAAGGTTTTTTTTCTGTTGCAAAGTTTATTGATTTTCTTCTGCCTGGAGAGATTGATGATGGGTTGTTTGATCTGCGAAGATGTTGTTTGGTAGGTGGGAAAACACACAAGAATGCACAAACATGAGCACACACATGCACACACAGCTTCCTCTCGGGTGATTACTAATTGTCCAGGATTATTAATTACAAATGGAGAACTCTCTGAAAGTAAACACTGATTAATGGCTAACAAAAGTAAGTTAATGTCTTACCTGTACTTTAATTACCAACGCTGCTCTGTTACAAGCGTCCCAACACAGGGCAGTAATTAACCCTAATGGTTTGCCAAGGACTCACTTTCATTTTCACTCACAACATAACAAAACACTCTACAGTATGCCATTTTGTAAAGTAAATACTTTTCTCTGCTTTTTTATTGTTGTTGTTTTCATAATTAAAAGTTCTTTTTTTTTTCCAAGACGGTGCCTATAATTTTGCAGAAATCTTAATCTAAAATCTTTTAGGCTAAAGCACATGCTCACATATCATTTGCAGGGTGCATTATATTCATAATTTGCTGTGTCCTGCAGTGGAAATTATTTTGATTGTTGGCAATTAATTTTTGTTTGGCAATTACAACCCCACCTGTCTGCACCTCATTACACTCTCCTAACACACACAAACACACACACACACACGCGCACACAGACACGCTCTGTCTGATTGGTGTTTGTCCGACTTAACTTTTGCAGAGGAAACCCACTCATTTTAACTTCAGCCCCAAAGACTGCTGTTTTTTCAGCTTGGCCAAGTGGAAGTCAACTCCATCAATTGAACTGTCTGTTTGTTTTCACATTATCTGTTATCTTAGTGCAACTGCCACACGTCTGTCCTACTGCTGCAGGAAATAGACAGGTAAACCCTAGTGATGCGGACCTTAACCTCGAGTCGTGTTCACTTCACTTTTATAAAGTGAAGTGAACTGTAAAATATATAATTAAAGAATTGACATGAACCTTTATTTAACAGCCAGTGTCAGGCTTTTTAGAGCATTATATCATTTATATAAGTTGAACATCAAAAACAAGTGCAGTAAGGTAATGTATTCACCTTGTCATCAATAAAGATGTGCAATACCAAAACAATTTTTCTATAAGAGGTTTGGCAGATAAAAAAAAAATGTTTGTACAGAGGGACACCGCGTGACTGCAATACCAGCTCGTATTGAACTGGTTGGATCAGTGTAGATGGATAAGTGGTTGCCTTTTTTTTATGCTTAATTTTTTTTTTTTTTTTAGAGCTAGCCAAAGGTTCTGTATTCTGGTTGATACGTTTTTGTACAGCTGTGTGAAAAAGAAAACTTTGGAAAGTCTTAGAATACCATGTGGTGGAAATTCAATCAAAATTCAATTTAAAACACACACACACACACACACATATATATGTATATATATATATA